TTTATAAGTAACATCTGATATTTTTGAAAAATGAAATCGCAGTCACTCCAAGGAGCGCATGTGCATAAATTAAGATAATTTTAAAAGTTTGAGGAAAAGGCAAAGAATTCCTTACTAATTTGATATGACCCCAAATCCTCCATGTGCCTTATTTTTGGTAGATGACTTCCCCGAATCAGCCACTTTTGGATAGTACCCTTGCCTGTTTTCCTGAGTTTATTAATTATATGAATTACAACATGTTAAATTTAGAGTCCTGTGAAAGGATAAATACAGCACAACAAGGCATGTCTTCTAATACACCGTTCTGGTGACAGTACATTCCCTAGGCAGAACGTTCATCACTTGTAATCACTTATTTTAGGACCATCGTTATCCAAGATGTTAACTCTGCAAGATCTTTTTTCTTTTTTTCACTGCTGTATGCCCAGAACCTAGTACTACATCTGACTCTGGTCACATCTCAGTAAATATGTACTGAAGGAAGGAAGGAAGGAAGGAAGGAAGGAAGGAAGGAAGGAAGGAAGGAAGGAAGGAAGGAAAGAAGGAAGGAAGATAGGGAGGGAGGGAGTGGCACACAGGTGGATTTCATGTGGACATGCAGTTGCTACCCAGTAAAGTCAGAAATCACTTCTTCACTCCTAACTCCCCTGGAAATGGTCGTGCAGATGATTCAGAAATCTTATAATACAAATTGTGCATATGGCGAGTGTAAAATAGGTATTGGCAGAACCTACCAGGAAAATTAGGTGGCAGGTTGGGTTGCATGTCTCATGAGAGATGCTCTCTGATTAACAGAAAGGATTTTCTCCCTGTGACAGTGAGGACCTTCCACTTGGCTGGGTGTCTTGAATGGGAGCTTACAAAATTCAGATTGCCCCAACCCGGTCACTTCAAACTAGTGGGATAGATTGAGCATCCCGTGTCCAAAGTGCTTGGGGTCAGAACGATTTCAGATTTCTAAGTGTTTCAGATTTGGGGATATTTGTATAGATTTTACTCATTAAGAATCCCTAATCTGAAAATCCAAGATCTGGAATGCTCCAAAATCCAAAACTTTTTGAGAACGGCACTGAGAACTTCAGATTTTGAGCATTTCAGATTATAGATGCTCAGCATATTACTTTGTATGGCTGCAGAGTCAGTATTATCCAGTCATCCCACTGGGGGGTAGCACTCAGATTTCCAGAACGTTGAGACCTGAGGGCAGTGAAAAATAGTGGTCTGCAGACTCCAAAAGATCTGTGCTTTTCGGTGTGGATTCCCTGAGTTTTCTAATTCACTTTTTACTTAAAGTGAGCCTAATCGTATATATTGAAATAGCCTCTCCAAGTTAGAACAAATGAAATTTGTCTCCCTTTCACAAGAAGACAGCCTAGAGATGCACCCTGTATGTGCTTCTCCTTTTTGGTGCTGGGAGGGGATCAAACTCCAGGCCTTACCCAAGCTGAGTACCACTGAGTTACATCCCCAGCCCTCACAGTATTTTTTTTTAACGTGTAACTTATTCATTCCTCTAAATAACCTTCTAGGTGGGATGGAAAATGTAAAGATAAGGGAATGAACAGAAAACAGAGGCAAAGTCACACAATTTAATACCAAATTGCAGGCCATCATCACGTCAGTAGGAGACTTGTGGCCCTGATGTCATGGGCCCTGCTCTGTCACCAGCGTCACAAGGCAGGGCCTGCCGAAACCCTGGTCATGACCGGGAAGTGTGTTTAGGACAGGATTGATGTGAGCTGTTCCCCAGAAGCACACGTCTGTGATCTTTGTCTCGTCGGTATCTATCCGCATCTGACACTCTCTATGCCTCATGTGACCACATTTTCTAGAATCTCATAACGTGTGCCCAGACCTTGCAATAAATCAGCTTCACTTTCTCCTTTCGAGTCCCATTCTGTCGTGTGTGTTTATTTATTACTTATGTGTTTCTTTGGTTTTACTTGGGTTTTTAGACATTTTCAGTTGAGGGATTGCTTCTTGTACCCAATATTCAGTTATTAGGGTTTTAAAAAGATGATTTGAGACTTTTAGTAACCATTGTAATGCTTTTCTCTTTCCATGGGAGGGTTTGCATGTTTTCTCTATTTCCTTCCTAGCCTCCTCCTGCAAGCAGTGCCAGCCAGCTAGGTTGCATGATGCTGCCTTTCACTCAAGTTCCTGCTGGTTGGTAGTAATTTAGTCCATATGCTTTAATGACCCTAGGAAGGATGTATTTCTAGTGGAGTTACCCCCAGCATTTAGGTGCTCCAGTTTTCCTTGGCACCAAGGAAAATGGTGTGCTCAGAATGTTAATCTCTGCTTTCTGCTGGCTTGTGATACATTGAAGTCAGACACTTTAAATTAATTTACTGTTGTCGTCTGTGTTTTAATCCAGTGAATTAATGCCGGGCAGGCCCTGGGAGCATTAACAGTTTGTCCACTTATCGTTTTTGATAAGTCACTGTTACCTGCTGCATCATCCTAGCTGCACACTGCCCCTGTCTGTATCTTGTGAGTCACAGGGGGCCCTGGATACCATCAGCCTCATAATTAAAAACTGCCAAATGTTCTGAACGGCAAACTGCACAGGCTGTAGGTAGGAGTCAGCTTCATTAATGTGCTCCACTTCCTTTCATTGTTGTCTGTTTTTAGTTTTTTTTCACATAACTCAGTGGGACTTTGAGGGTTGGGAGCCAGCAGTAGGTGTGGGCGGCCTCTCTCCACAGCCCTCTGGACCTCGGTCAGCATTGGCTGGGGTCTGGGCGAGGGATGCTCAGCTTCCGGGCGCTGCGGAGGAGGCCTTTCCCTGCTTCCAACACTTCCTCGCAGCAGGGGTGGTCTGCTTCCTTTGCTTCCCAGGCTCTTGATCACGGGACACTGCAACTCATCACACTCTTGAGGGCTTCCCCAAAGTACCGCACCTGCCCCCGCAGCCCCTGCTGCAGAAACACAGCTCTAGCTCAGGGTTCACTTTTGAAAACTTCTTTTGCAGCCTCATTTTGTGCATCTTCTATAACTATACAGGGAGATCCAGGCAGAAAGCTGAAGGCAGTCCTGTAAATTATGTTAATAATTAGCCCGTGCAGACAAATATTGGCCACCGTTATTTTCTTGTTGTAAAGCGTTGCCAGTTGCTAGTCTTTCTTGCCAGTATTTTAAAAACTAAGAATCCAGATGGATGAAGTGATGTCCAGAGCCCACTGCCACCACCTCTGCCAGCTGTCTCTCAGGCCCTCCCACCCCTGCCAGGAAGCATGGCATACAAAAGAAGAAGGGGAAGGTATGCAATGTGGCAAAAAGTCAAAGCAAGAAAGTGTCTGATGAGAGGCCCCACGGGATTTCCAGAGGCCCAGCGAGCTCGCGTATCTAAGGGATGATCGTAGAGAAGTAAAAGTAGTGGGCGATCACTGTGTGCTCCTAAGTACAGGCAGCAGTCTAGGGCCACACCACCCTGAATGTGCCTGATCTCATCTAAGTACTTCTGACAAGGAGATGTGACAAAGGCCGCTCGGGGTGGTGGGTAGGCCGGCTGGGGAAGGCCTCTCTAAGGGTGATTTGATTGAAGCCTGAAGCACCAGACCTGGGAGAAACCCAGCAAATGGGCCACAGAGGAGCAAGCACGGGAGGAGCCAAGGATGGAGGTTCAGGCAAAGACACCCCAAGCACCGCATCCCGTAGAGCCTTCCTCCAAGACCAGATTAGATCTTGGTGACTTCACTGCCCTCCGCTTTCATAGGACCTTTGCTTCCCAAAGAAATTCATTTTACACAAGGCCAAAGGGCAATAAGCCCCATAATTCCTTTCTCTTAACCACCTTTGCACTGAGCCGGTTTCCAGTGGTGGTCGACTCTTGGATAGAAGGTATGAATTTACTTAATCCTGGGCCCAAATCTCTTTCTTCTTTCCTTTAGTTACGTACATTCTTTCTTCAAAGTGGAGACTGTTCCTAGGCCTGGCCTAGCACCCAGCTAAGACTGAGAGACCGGGAGAGATATCTTTCTACATCAGACGGTTGGATCTGTTGCCAGACTGACTAAGCCTGTGTCCTGTGTTCCATAGATTTGCTAGGCTCCAGTGTTCTTTGGAGAATTGAACCAGAAGAGAAGGATCCTCAGAAGGCTGCCACTGTTGGCCAAGCCACAAGCAGGGCATGGCTGTTGGGTTTGGAAAGAAGGAGCAGGTACTAGCCTTAGCAAGTCTGTCTCCCAGCAAGGAAGTTAGAAGCCAAACAGAAAAGGGAGAAGCTGGTCTTCTACCTACAAATCTAGGACAGTCCTTACATGCCAGGAGCTTTTACTGATCTGTTCCCTGATGGCTTTGTGAGGAGAAAGTGAAATTTTTAATGGTCTTTCAAGATCTTGTGAATGTCATCAACCCGTTGTCTATATATCTTGGAGACCAAGGAGAACCTAGAACTAGAAAATAAGGAAATCTCAGGCAGCATTCTGGGAGAAATTATAGGAGGGAAAAGTGGCATAAAAGAACTTCTGACTCCCTGTGGATTTGGGAAGGGAATAGGAATAGAAAGTTACATGACATGTGAGTCCGGGCAAAGGTGGAGACAGAATTGCGAGTGGAGCAGCGCATGGAGCCAGATCCCTCGAGCTCAAATCTCAGCCCTGACTTGTGTGACTGTGCTTGAGCTACCTAATTGTTGAGCTTCAGTTTCCTTCCAGTAAAACAGGGACCATTATAATGACACCAATTTAAAATATCAATCTAGACTATTGGTATGACACACCTAGCACTTTCATTGTTACTGAAGAGGCCTCCAGAGTCGCTCAGGAATGCTGTTCTGGCCAGCCTTGCTTCCGTGGGACAGCTTTGCAGCCTTTACATTTCAAATCTAATCTCTCCTTTACTAGCAATATGTGGCCACTCATTAGGGAGCAATGGGTGGGTGGAAAGGAACATTAGATACAGTAAAAGAATCATCAGGCTTGGGTGGCATAAAAGACCTGTGAAGCAAACACTCGCTTCTGTGTGTTTAACCCTTCTCCTCCCGCCGGCTACAGGTTCTGCTGTGCATCACCTACACCCCAGCATTCGACCTGAACGGGAGTGCTGTGCTGAAGATCGCCGAGGTGAGTGTCCCTTGTCCTTGTGCTGCCTGCTCACAGCTGCTTTCTCTTGCACTGGGATAAATAGCAAAGTGGCACTGAGCCCTAGCAATGGGGTGAGCTCTTCTGTGGTTACGGTTGGGAATTTCTGCTAGCGAGTTGCCGTGACAGGCGTGCTGTGTGGCCCAGCATCCTCCCTCCCTCCCAGTGCTGTGCCTTAGCGCTTTTCTTTTGAGGCTTGAACCATGGAAATAACAGTACCAGCTCCCCCTACACTACTCCCGATATATTGCTTGCTCAGTGTATTTTTTCCTATGATTAATTGCAAAACACTTGATTTTTTTAAAAAACATCTTTTAAGAAACTAAGTTAGAGATTTACAGAGACATTTATTGATTCAATTCCATCACTGTCTCCAAGCTCTGATGACACATTCTGCAGCCTCTCTGTTCAGTCTGTGCTGTGGTCTACAGTAACACAGGTCTTCCAGCACCCCCAAGAACACATCCAGCTGAAATCTTGGCTTCTCCGGGGTCTGATGTATGCCTTTGGCTTTTGGAGATATCATCATGGCAAAGGATAATTTTCCTTCCATTTCTTAAATAGAGAATCTTCAGGATTTGTTGATTCTGGCAAGAATATACATGCAGATCACAAAGAGGCAATGATTTTCTGAATTCTGAAATGATGGAGAAAAAGGAAACCTAATTATCAGCATTCATGGGTATCTGCATTAGCAGATGCATATACTTTTTGTGGTAATGTCCATCCCAAGAGAAGAGCAACCATCAGCTGACCCCTCACTACACTGCAGATCAGTATATCACTGTTGAACACCAGTATCTTTCACTCTGTATAATAGAATGGTTATCAGCAATTGTTTCTAATTGAAGAGATATCGGGAGTGCGCTTGGCATTTGTAGGTTCACTTGAGTCAAGACTGTGTAGTTTCCACAAACAGCGAGAAGCGGGATCAGCACCTGAGGGTTATTGGCACTTTACCACCCGAAGGGAGATGGGAAGTGTCATGTGTCACAGTCCTGTGCTGCCCTGCAGAGGCCGTCCAGGCTAGGGGACAACAAGGAGCCCCCAGGCTTTCTGGAAGGGAGCACTAGCAGATCCCCATGCCACCTGTGAAAGGGAGGAGGAAGAGGCTGTCCCTGCTGTCCTCATAGAAAGCACTTTCTGATGAGATCGGGCGTGTTCAGGATGGTATGGCTGTAGACGAGAAAGCACTTTCTGAATGAGAGCCTGAGGGACACAGTGTGCCTCTGGGCAGGGACACGCACTTGCACGGGCCACACAAGTGCAAGGAGGATCACTCAGGTGCCTGGAAGCTAGAGTAATTGTCCACAGGCCTGTCCAGATGGGATGAATCAGCAAAGCACGCTGGCCTCTACCATAACCAGCAAAGGGAAAACACAGCCAAAAAGAGAACATCTCAGCCTCATGTGGATGTGAAGGTAAAGACGCTTGAGCCTCGTGCTAAGCAGGATGGACCCAGAGTCCCACTGTGTGATGGAAATCCCGGCTCTCCTGCATTCCAGCTGTTGGCTTGGCCGCCCATCGGGGGCTCACGTTTGCTGTCTGCAAAAGCCACGAGAAGTACACCTGTCTCACGGTGTGGATGTACCCATTAGACATGAAAGCTACAGCCCATGTGAAAAGCTACCATGTGACTGTAGGTCCACCCACATCATGAAAAATCTTTTCCCTTGTCCACCTTGAAATAGGGAAATGATTTTAAATAGTCCCTCAACATAAGGCATTGACAGCTCTTCTGAGAGGTGGAAAGGAACCCAGCTATTCTCTTCTTCCTTGCTCTCCGATAGACGCAAAAACACGAAGATAGTGTTTACCCTGAAACCTGTTGATCAGGAAATGGGATATGTACTTAAGAATGAAAGATGAGGCTGTTTCCCTACTGTACTGCTGAAGCTATAAAAAGACCATTAAGCTCTCAAAATGTAACTGAGAAGGCAACCTTCCTTGGCGTGGCTAACTTCAGTCTGCTTAATTAAACTGCAGTTAGGGAAGTTCTTCAGGAAAGCACTTTCCATGTTACAGGAAGAAAAAGAAATGTCACCAAATTTTAAAATGGACATTGATGAATTATCCATCAAGTGTTGTCTGTTCAACTCCATGAATAACCATCACCAAAACTCCACAGGGGTGTATAATCCTCCTCTGCATTGAAAACGGACAAAGATTTCTCCTAGCAGTAGGCCTGGATTAAAAACCAGATGTTTTTAAGGACAGTTATCTCAATATAGGAAAAAGCTGTAGAAGTAGACATTGCCAAGACCTTGGGCTAAAACAAAAGGCCAAATTGTAGCCAAAAAAGTCTGTTAAGCTATTTGGGGGGATGGTTAATGCCACTGGTCCATGGGAAAGATTTGGGACATGACTTCTTGTCTACCGGAGATTCCTCTGTGGGATTTCTCAAAAGCAAAAAGCCCTGTAAATGCACATTTGCCGCTTTGATCTCACTGGTTCCGGGAAACTTCCAGTCTATGATACTGTAGTACACTATCAAGTTCAGGCAAAATCTGTTTCAAAAACTATTTTTTTCTCTAGGATTTTTATTCCCAGGCACCTCCCTTCTTCTCTCCTTGTATCTACTTATCTCTCCATTCCAAATCACTGACTAATAATTATAGCTACTATCATTGAATATTTTTGAGACAGAGTCTTACTAATTTGCCCAGGCTAGCCTCAACCTTAAAATCCTTCTGCCTCAGCCTCCCAAGTAACTGAGAATACAGCTATATATTCTCCTTTAATCTCCACCACAACCTTGCTAAATAGAGCCCCAAGCAAACTGAGGTTAACTTGCCCGCCCAGATTTCTATAGGTAGCTATTCAAATCCATAACTTGTATTTTGTAATCACATGTTGTTAATCACTATTCTATGTTGCTTCTGCCTAGCCTCAGTCTTAGAAAATATAAGTAGAATTTTGCTATAATCATATTGGCAACTGACTGAAATTCTCTCTCTTTTTTTTGAGACAGGGTTTCACTCCACAGTTCAGTTCAGGCTGGTCTTAAACTCGCTTTGTAGGCCCGGCTGGCCTTGAACTTGCAGCGACCCTCCTGCCTCAGCCTCCCGAGTGCTGGGATTGCAAGCATGTGCCACCACACCTGGCTACTGACTAAAATTCTCAGGAGTCATTTCCCCCTTAGACCTTTCCAGCAACATTTAATTAGATAATTGCCATGTAGTATTTTTACATATGAAACTGAAGTATGTATGTTTTTCACTTTTATGTGACCACAGATTTGAGCAGTCTTTAAGAACATGCCACTTTCTTGATTATCTGTACATATCAAAGGTTTATCTTTGTCTGAGCATTATATTTCCATCAAAGTATCTGGAGATTTATAATAGTTTTTGTTACCCTAAGGAGCTCAAAAATGTTGAGGTTCAAGACTTACCTCCATAGATTCTTCCTTAATTCTTATTTAACACTCCTAGTTGTCACTAAAGTATTTTTTAATTGAGCTTATTTATAACTCTTGAAATATTCAGAGATACTTTTCTTTTTTTACCCTGTGTGACAGCATTATTCTTAGACATCAAGTACAGATAACCTGGCCCATGTATTGTAGATGCATTTTCATGTTATGCTCTCTGTGAAGAAGTAACCCCCTCTCCTGTGAAGAAAAGTAACCAAGGGGCAGGTCCACCACCCTAAACCAGCTGAGACCACTAGAGTGAGACACTCCCGTTGTAGGAGCTGTTCATGAAGCCCTCTGCTCTTCTCTGTACACCTGTCTCTGTCAATTCTGCTTTGACTCCTTCCTATCTATTCTTTGGCTTCCTGGGAGATCGTCACCAGAAAGCTCGCCCTTTGCTGCAGAGACTTTCCGTATCTCTCTTTAACTTTGACTTGCATGACTCTTGAAGGTGTAATTCAAGTTAAAGAACAAAGAACACTGGGAAGCCTCTCACTTTTATTTTGGGTTTGTTCATAAGGCAGAGACTGGGTCTCAGTAGACCTATAGGCCAGGCAGAAGGATCTGCCTGAAAGGTGTAGGAATCGATGGTGTGAAGTGTCTCGAGCCACACTGATACGTCAGCTTACACCAAGGAGAACGTGGAGGAAGAAGCGGATCATCTCAGTTAGAGTTTCCCACATATGCCCAGCACTTTGGAATTTCCTTTTAATTTGAGATCCAAAAGCAAAACTAGTGAACTTTGCTGCCCAGCATGGTGATCAGGCTTCCACATATACTGTATTTCCTAGGAATGACGTAACAACTTCATTCCCTCTACATGTATGAGTGTGTGTTCACGCTGACTTGACAAAGCACCTCTTGCCACGTACACACCTGTTACATCTGTTCACATGTTAGGAAAGAGGCCTTTTTCAGAGAGAAAAAGAAAATGGCCTGGCAACCGAGCTGGCACTATGATTCATCAGAGTCCAGACTTAGAGCAATAATTAGAATTCTTCCTGGTTCCCATGTGATGAACAAGCATTTATAGGCTTCACTATAGAGAAGACATGTATTTTGCCTTCTTTTTTAAATTCAAAGAAAAAAAATTTTTTTTTTCACTTTTCGAGGCAGGGTCTTGCTGTGCAGTTCAGGCTGGCCTTGAGCTCACTTTGTAGCTCAGGCTGGTCTCGAACTCGCAATGATCCTCCTGCCTCAGCCTCCCGAGTGCTGGGGTTACAGGTGTGTACCACCATGCCTGGCATTAATTTCAAAAATTTTTATTAGTACATGTTTGCAATCCATAATGATTGTATTCATCATGGGGAATTGATACATGTACTAAACACACCTTAATTCTTTTGCTTTCTTATAGCTTAGTGTTTGATCCTTTCCACTTTATAATCATAAATTATTTTTCATTTTTATAATTTTTTCCCAGTTGAATATATATTAGCTCTTCTCTTTATGGAATCTATACCTTGGTGTTATGCACTGTTTTAACACAGCAATGCCACTAACCCCATCGGATAGAAAAGAGAAGGTGCATGTGTAATTCAGAAAGTGAAGTTCACATATATTTTGTAAAACTAAGCACATTTCTCAAGAAATCTTCAAAACTTGTGTGCACTTAAGCAATATATAGAATATCAACTAATCAACCATATTCTGCTATTTTACTTTATATTTAATAATGTAACAATTCCAGCCTTGGCTTAACCTAGAACTGCTGTTTTTCAGTCCACTTGCCTAATGATACAAAACCTTTCTTGCTTACGTGTGCCTGCAGATTTGCGTTTTCTTATTCTGTTTTTCCTTCTGTTTTTGTGGTTTGTTTTGCTTCATTAACCATTTGTGTTTTTGCTCTCAGTTGTGTTTAGCATGTCATAAAAATGGATGTCCACAAGTGCATGAAATGATCAGAGTGTCCCTTCTGACCCTTCTCACTGCCCTGTGTCTGCGTGCATTCCCTGGCCACCAGGGGCCTGTGGCTTTTCACAAGGTATTTCATGGGGCCTTTGTGCCTCTGGCAGGTGCAGGTCTGAGCCTTTTCAAGTGTTTATTCTGCAATTCAAAAGCAAAGGGCATGGGGAGGTAGAATGGTGTTCAGGTAACTAGGAGAAGATGCTGATGAGCCCTTTTCTTAGAAAGCCATTCTGCCTTGGACTTGACATTCTTTCTCGCAGCTTCTCCTATCCAGAGTGATCATCTTACTACCTCCCTGAGGTAGAGGAAGAAAGACAGTCATGTAGTAAAAATTTTTTGGTTTTGGTTACAGTGTTAAGGTTTAAAATGGAAACCCTGAATCTATGAACCTTAGTGTTAAGGTTTAAAATGGAAACTATTATGATTGATCCTTTCCACTTTATAATCATAAATTATTTTTCATTTTTATAATTTTTTCCCAGTTGAATATATATTAGCTCTTCTCTTTATGGAATCTATACCTATTACTACAGCCAGTATTAGAAACTCTTAGGACATCAGGACAGATGATAAAACATTTTTTCCAGTACATAAAGATAGCAGTATTATTAAATACATGGTCATCTCTATGTTTAGCAAGCCATCGTGTTGTCAGATGCAGTATATATCTCCAATTTTGGCAGAATGAGCAGCTTAGAGAATGCCTTTTTTCTTAGTAATTTTCTTTTAATCCGATGCCTACTGCAGTAAGTCATGTCCGATGTTATCCCTGTAGTATTAATAACTTACAGTAGTGGTGACATTCAGACTAAAATGAAAAATGCATTTGGTATTTATAAGTCCTTATCTATTTGTAGCACTGTGTGATATACAATTGGACTCCTGGTGTGTGCTTTCTTTCATGGATCTAAAGTGACTAATGTCATTCTGAGTGTGTATGGCTTGGAATTCAAGAAAATTTCTATCGTGTGGAATTGAGCTCTCAGAATAGCTGCTCTTTCATCTTCAGTGCTTTGAAGGCTTAAAATTCCCCTTTAAATTAATGTCAAAGCTTAGAAATCTTAAAGATCAGTGGTCACAAAGATTTCTGGGAAAAACATAAGATATAAGGAAAACTGCTAAATTATGAGGTACAGATCATACTAGTCTGCCTAATCAGACCATGGAGAACTTAGTTTCATTAGAATGAAATGCTGTACTCATTTAGAAGTATTTTTAAATCATTTTATCACATTCCTAAGCAGAAACCTTTTGGGATTTAAAGACCTTTTACCTAAGTATCCATAGAGTATTGTACATTCAAATCCATTATAATCCATAATCATTTGAGAAGGTGAATTTAAAATTCACATGTTCTATGAAGCTATTTGAAAAAAAATACTTTGTAACTTCTATTTTCTTTTGAAATGAATTAATCTAGGCTAAATTCCAAATACAGTATTAAGTTCCAAATGCTCCCGTAGTAGATAAGTTAAACTTTAAAAGAAATATTTACTTTGGGGGGCTGGGAGTGCAGCTTAGTGATAGGGCACTTGCCTAGCATCCTCAAGGCTTGGGTTCAATCCCCAGCACTACAAAGAAGACGGAAAAGGAAAAAAAGAAATAAACTGTTTTTACTTAATTTTGCAAAAAGATGATTATAGCGAGGTTTTCCAGAAAACTCTCATAACCTGAGTAATACAAGCAACAAAGATTGGTGTTTAGTCTCCTTCTCCCACCTGAGTTATTGGTCATCAAATTAAATTTTCCATTGAGGTGTGAACCTCTGTTTCCATGGTCGAGAACCATGGAGCTATTCCTAGAAAAATAAATTAGGCACTTTAAACCCCTTCCAGTTCTTGTGTGTAGCCCTGCTTTGTGACACTGGAAGGCTCGAAGCCATTATGGAGAGAAAAAAGTGAGCAGATCTGAAGCATGCAATAAGTGTCATGCCCACCCCTGTAACTTCAAAAAGAATTATAAGCAGCAAAACTTGGAAAGTCATGACACCTCGCATCATTAATCAATAAGCGAGTTTTTGAACATTGAGGTTTCTCCATCAGTAGCCATGAGGGAGTGTCTTGTGTTCAGCTAGAGACTCGGAACACACAAGAGCCAAAGGGCTCCGACTGACCTTATCTCTCAGCAGGCTGTGGGACAGGAGACAGAAGGAGGGCATTGTTAGGCGTTTGCCTTCCCTGGGGGTCCTCATAGCAGGCCAGAGGCTGCTCTCTGGCTCTCAAATGACAGCAAAGGTACAAAAGAATGACAGCCACCTCAGTGAGTACAGACTTACCTTGGCTTTGGAGCCCTGTGTCCCAAATAAGACCCAATATTTCTGAAATGAGCGGAGTTTGCAGAGTTCCCGTGGAGAATGTGATCAATTACAAGTCACCGCACCCAGGGAAACTCACACTGGTGGCTTCCAACCAGGTACTCATGTTGTTGATTCACAGCTATCTCTATCCAGATGCAGCTTAGTAACCAGGGAACATGTACTGTAAACCATTCTGCCTTTGTCAGCCATCCAGAAGAGCCCAGCTAGAGTGAGTCCAAGGTCAGGCTCATTTATGGTGCAGGAGAGAGGGTTACCCAGACTATAACCCATGAGCTAATAAATTCATCCTACTTAAATAGTGCATGGTTTCTTTTATATGAGAAACTCAAAGTATCAATAATTTAAAGAGAAAAATAAAAGAAGATAGGATACAAGATATTTTGTAAATGGGTAGGAGATGAAAAGATGGAGGGAGAGGGGAGGGAGCAGAGGAAAGGGGAAGTAAGAAGAATTAAGATGTGTTATGGATATGTAACAACTCACTATGGTGTATATAATCATTATTCACTGCAAACGTGTCCTAATAAAAATTTTAAAAAATACATCATTTCCCCTCCCCAAATAAATAAACTCTGTCCTGTTTTGCCATGAACAGAGCTTTTCTTGATTAATTTCCAGTCACTTGAGTCTGTTCCAGATAGAATTATTTGGCTTATGTAAAATTCACTGTTTTGTTCTCCCCTATGAAGCTCAGAAGAGTAAGATTCTTAAGGAAATATTGCTTTTTCTATATGCTTAAAAACAAATTTCTAGGGATTTCCAACATGTCCAGATGATCCTCATTAATAACTGGCCAGAAATCAGGCTGACTTTCTGTTTAAGGAGAATTTGCTAGCCTCTCTGGTTAAGGTCAAAGAGGACTAGTAATGACCTGATGTCTCCAGTGGATGTGTTGCTGTCTTCTTTCCCAGGTGTGCATCGAGACATACACGTGTAGCTGTCACCAGCGCAGTATAAACACTGCAGTGCGGGCCACTCTCAGTCAGATGCTAAGCGACTTGACCTTACAGTTACGACAGAGGCAAGAGAACACGGTAAGCTTGTGGCACTCCACGCTCATCGTGGTCTTTGTATGACTTTTTGCTATGCCACCTGCCATAGCCACCTCCCACTGGAAATGCTGGGGAGGGCTTGCTTGTTTTGGAAGAACATTTATTTGCATAAATAAAGCTGTTTAGGATTTTGCTTGTTTCACTTTCAAAGCCTTCAGAGGGTTTTTTTCCCTTGCAGTTTTTATAAATCTTGTCACTGCTTTAAAATTTACTTTTGTTCTTTTTTTAAACTTATGAATCAAACATTTTTATTGAAAATATTTTGATAGTAAATATGGAGTTAAGGAAGCTGAGTAGCAGTTTAACACATGCTTGGAAATTTGTTGTTTTCCTTTATTAATGGAAAGGTTGTACCAGAGCTCCCTTATCTGCTGGGCCACTGGGGTGAAGCTGAACTCTTGGTTAGCAAAGCCTACTAGAACTTTTTGCTCTAAATTTGAACAGATGGTCTGAAATGAGTTTCTAGGGGAAAATGTAAATTTAATTGGTTTCTTGTATATATTATCATCTAGGAATGTCAGTGAGACGATTTCTTTTCAAATAGGTGTTTAGTTTTCTAACTCTGCCTGTGTACTAACTTAGACTGCAATGACATTGGTCATTTTTTAAACTAGCAAATCTCAGTTGCAGTTTGAAATATCTCAGAGATTAATTTTACAGAAATTAAGGTTTCCTTACTTCGGTTATTACTCATTTCAAGTTCTTATTTTCTCAGTTTCGAAAACAAGAAGGTTGAAAGGAACCTCACAGATTGTCAAATCAAATTCTTTTACTCCTCATTTCCGGATAAGAAGACAAAGCCCAGAGAGACGAAATTAAAATCTAAAATTAATGCGCTTATCAGTAAAAGGCCCAGAATTCAAGCCCTGGGTTGCTGCCCAGCTCCCAGTCTGTGTTCCCAGCTTCTATGTACCATGGCAGCCAGCGTTGAAAACACTAATATGGAAAAAAAACAAATATTGATGTTTTTCTTTTGTGTTTTCTGTATCCAAAGCATGTGTTTCTATTAAAATTACTTTCTGGGTATTTTAATCATTATAAATTATCCCCTATTAAAAATGAGTCATTGTATACCAAGAGTTTGAGTATAATAGTATGAGAAGTTAGCTTTGAAAAACACCTATGAATAGGAAACATATTAGGAGAAAAAAGTGTTTTTAATAGACATAAGTCAAAGATTTTGAAAATGTTTATGTTAACACATAGTCATAGTCCATCTTTGCTAAAATGCCAACATGATCATATACTATAATATTAATGATAACTTACTATTTTAAAATGAAACATTTAAATGAAATGTGGTTTTAAAGCACTTTCGATTATTTTAGCCCATTTAACCTTATGTTGAGATGGTTAAGTAAGAGCAGACAGTCATACTTCACATAAGCTGGTTTTTTGGTCAATGGCAGAGTACATATACAACAGAATATACCATGCAGCCTAGGGGTATAGTAAACTATACCACTTAGGTAGGTGTAGGTAACACTGTTATGCTCACACAATGACAAAGTGGCTTAACAGTAAATTTCTCATACTGTATCTTCATTGCTCAGTGACAAATGACTACAGTGTTTCAAATGAAATGCCTTAGCCTTTTGGTCTTATTTCTCTGCCATACAATGGAAGGCAACAGGTGTAGCTGTGGTCATATGCCTTTGTCCTGAGTTTCACGTGGCTAATCATGATCAGTCTTCTGGTCCTGCTCATCACCAACCATCTGGACTCACCCTACCTCAATGCAAGACACCAAATGAGGTGGAAAATTCCTGTTTCCTGTTATTCCCTTTCTCTTACTCATGCAATCCTTTGGAGATGCGATTCCATGTCATAGGAAAACACAGTTCTCAGGGTGCTAATGTTGGAAGCACATTTGTCCAGCAGGAGGGGACACTGAGTTTTGTTATCTAAGAATTAGCGACTTTTTCAAATGCTATTAGAGATGAGTGGCCTGTAGGAGTGGCGAGGTTTGCTCTAAAGAGGTGGTGCGTCCCCGGGGAATGCTTAGCCTTACCTATAAAAGGCTAATCCTTAGCCTCACCTGTAAAATATACTGTATATATTTTATAGCGTGACTCATCACTGAGAAGTCACTATGAGCCTCCTCAGAATTAGGGAGACCTAAATATAGAAAAAGGAAAATAAATGTAGCATGCAAAGGGATTAACATGAAGTACATCTTTAACTAGTGCCTCTATCTCCCTCAACCCTCCTATAGAGGGTATTACATTTTTGATTCTGTATCCTCAGAAATCTTGAAATGTTAATTCAGCTTCATTACCTGGCTTACTTAGCTAACCAAAACTATTGCTAAATTGTAAATTGCTAATTTCAAAAGGCAGAATTGCCACATGCCAATATTTGGAGCTGAGGACAAGGAGTCTTCTTCCATCAGGTATAACTCGGGTGTGTTCCCCAGAAAGTATTGTCCTAACCACACATTTAGCCGTGTGCTGAGCAGCAGACACTAACATAGTATCTCACAAAAATTGCTGTGGAAGCAGTGAGCTTGCAATTAATGAAGAGCAGTAGAAATGTGTGCCCATAACATGGCTTTTAAAAAACAACCCCACTGGATGATTTACACATCTGAGAGTTAATTAGCACAAAAATGCCTTTTTATTATCTCCTGGTTCGAAGAGGTGGGGAGGCAGAAGCACCTCCTTCCAGTCCTCAGCTCCGGAGTCTCTGGGTTTTTCCTGGAATGGGAAGAAGGTTTTATTATGTGTAAGCAGCTTTCTCTTCCTGTTTTTCCTAGGTGCTGTCTCTGCCTTGACAGTTCTGGATCTCTGGAGCAATAGCCATGAGTCTGATAAACAATCAGAAGTTAATATGCCCCCCATTAGATAGGGGGATGGTGCTTCTGAGCAGGGGTCATCTTTGGACCAGTGATTTGAAGCCCAGCAGCCTGATGCTTCCTATGCTAGCAATCTGTATCTGCTAGGGCCAGGCACAGTGTAGTCTGTGGACTTGGGATAAATCATTGCCTACGCAAAGGTGAACTCGCCTCTTTAGGTAGGCACTGCCACAAGTCATAGCCCAGCAACCTGGAATCATAAAGCACCATGGGGCTGAAGCCCCTGGGAAGTGTGTAGATTCTTGAATGTTTTATTCTGGGAAGCAATCAGCTGAGTTCTGAACACCACAGTCTTTCTCATGAATGCAGTCCACCGTGAAACGCTATCAAGAGCCGAACCATGTGCTTGGCTAGAGAAGCTGAGCCCATAGCAGTGTGAATCCCATTTCGCTCCCTGGGATTTTCCAGTGTCTGAGAATCAGGACTTTTCTTGCCTGTATCTCCTAATTGTCTGTGTGTGTCTCCTTCACCAGATAATTGAAAACCCAGATGTACCACAGGAATTCGGGAGTCAAGGTATTGGATTTGGTTTTTACTAGTTCAGTTCTAATAGATGTAGTAAAAATGCCAACTGTGTGCTTGGCGCTGGGGGTGTAAAGATGCCTAGGAGCTCTTGGGTTGGTTTACGCTTCTCCTTGGAGGCTCTGCTCAGCTTTGCCATGTGTGCTTTTATTTCATCAGCTGCTGTCTTCCTTCTGTTCCCACATGCACCAGTGCCAACTGTGCCTACCCCTGTTCCAGCTATGTGAGGGAGGTAACTCTCCACATACCTCCCACGGGAGGCTGGGAGTTTGTTTTTTAAGTTACTTCCTTCTCTGTGAAGCCCGGTTTAACTGCTAAAATGAGAACCTGGTTATAGGGTTATAGAAATCTGATTGACACCCTGTGCTATCGCACCGGAGTTATGTTTGTCAAATGCCGGTGCCTTGACCTGAAAAAGTGAGTCATCTTCCAGGGACCCCTTCAGCGAGCCCACTTTAAGTCACAGACCAAAGCCAAATTATGGCACTTCCCTTCTGACCCACAGGAAAAGAAAAGAAGTATGTATACATGTAATTAGCAAGCGATTTGAGTGTTAAAAACAGCTGATAGTATAATTTTCTTATGAAAGATAGGAAAAATTCAAATCAGATTTAAAAATGGAAACATTAGTGTTGTTTCCAACTTTGTTCAGTAATTTGAAAAATATTGGGAACATCTAATTTTATTTGGACCTTTGCCATTAATTACAAGGCCAAAGAGATAGGGATGGGAAAAGAAAGGAGGGAAAGAAAAGGAAAGAAACAACCAAAATTAGAAGGAAAGGAGTAAATGCAAGAAGTGAGAAAGAGAAGAGTTTGTGGTACGTTACTGTCCAGCTCACTGTGCTGTATTGTTTTGTCCCCTCCCACTGCATTTTGGGGTCCTGTGCCAGAGAGCGCTGGAGCAAGGCTTCTGCCCCAGGAACTCCCAGAGGTGCGCTAGAAGATGCCCCCGTCCTGCCTTCTCTTTGGCTACTGCATTCTCACCAAAGCCTCGCTTTAATGTAGGGCAATTTTATAAACTGAAAATGGAGTCAACTTGCTTTTGGCCAATGTTGCATCTGTAAAAAAATATCCTAGTAAAAATTGGTGGGCTCATTTGAAATTAATCTAAAATTGAGCAGAAGGGCCATTTATCAATCTGACTCTAAACTCTGCTTTATCATTGTGCCTTATCATTTCTCAATTTTGTTCCTGCATTTAACGTCTTAAACTCCAAGGATCTGAATTTATTTTTCTTCCCTTGCCTCCTCCAAGTCTATTTTTATTTGCTCTCCCACACTTCTTCCATCTTTGTTGACTTTGTGCTCCTCCATCCATTTCTATTCAGGTGTGCTTGGACAGATTCTTACAGGCTTTTATTTTAGAAAACAAATGTCCCCCACTTATCACTTGGCTCAACAGTTCTGTGAAATTGGCATTATTTATCTTATCACTAAAAAGAAAAACAAAGTTTACCCAACCAAGCTCACACAATCAGCAAGTTGTGGACCTGCATGGGAATGCGTTCCGAATTCCAACCTTTTTCCTACAGTGCTTTGGTGGGAGTTTTAATTCTAGTTTCTGAACATTAGAACCCATTTGGAGGGAAAAAGTATTTTTCCAACATTGGCTACTGCTCCATTGTTGACAAAGACCACATGTCCCACAGAGATTGGACACATAGAGAAAGTGAAGATGGTGACTCAGTTATCTCACCCTCTTCATCTGTCTTCTGAATTCCATCTTTTTTCTATGCCGCCATATTGTATCTCTCTTTGGGTTGTTTCTTAAATTCACCAAAGCTCCTTTCATTAAATGTGGATAAATTTCACTTATAATAAGAAAGAATCTATTATTTCCTTCTGGTCCGCTTTTTTCATGTTTTACTTTAGAAAAGAATGGGTATATTATTACCTTTCCTGTAATTGTTTCAGTGGCCTAAGGGAGATGCTGATCTAAAATTCACCTCAGTCCTGCAAGAGGTCCAAAGCAGAGGACAGGAAGGACTGTTGAGGGAGGTACCGGACTCCCCCTGCCCCAGTGTCTAATGCCTGTCTCCTCCTCTGATTCGAAGGGTCATCGGTAGAGGCCCTCTGTGATGATGTTGTCTCTGTCCTCGCCGTCCTGTGTGAGAAGCTTCAAGCCTCCATAAAGTAAGTGCCTTGCCATTTCTTGTCCACAGTGGTCTGTTTCTGAAATAACGTCTGTCTATGACATCACTTAAAATTGCAGATTATAAGAAGAGCAGTTCCTCCCACTGGTACTCACCTGTCATTCCCAAGAAATACATCCAGAGACCTTGGGCAATGCCAAATTACAAATACCATTGCTGAAGGCCATAATTTTGTGAGGTGGAATTTGAAAAACAATACCTTGGAAACCCTTTGAGTACTGGGCTGCATGGAAGGAATGTTGGGCACAGAGCTGGGCTGATGTGAGGGCTCCTAACCGGGCCTGGCCCTGCTGTGTGACGGTAAATGACTCTTCTCATGGGACTGTGATACACTGTCTTCCTCCGTTAAATGACGGGGGTGAATTGTGTGCACTTTCTCTATTTCTTGTACCATCCCCCAAGTCTGTGAGCTCGAGCGCTTACCTTTAAAGAGAGCAGATTTCTCTCACTTTCGTATACTTTCATTTTTTTGCATGCCGGTTTGATTAGTGAAGTTAGTTCGTTTAGGTAACATCTCTGGCTCTAACTCTCCATGAGATAGGGTAAGACAACTTCTGCAGCCAGAGTGAAAGCCAGACTTGCCAACATGGGATGAAAAGTCTCTACCAACTGCATAGATCTGCATCACTTTATCCATTATTCCTCTCAGTCACCTGTATATTTGGACCAAATGCAACTTTATATCAGGCATTTAAAGGTCAAATACATCTAGGAAATGGGGAAAGTAGTAACTGTATGGGATGAATAAGTCAAAAGATCTAGTTACAACATGAGGATTGCAGTTAATAATAGCTTGTTCTACTCAGGACATTTACTGAATGGGTTGGTTGTAGCTGATTTTGCTACAGGAGGGGTAAATGGGCAGCTATGTGAGATTATAGATATGCTCCTTTGTCTCACTGCAGAACCATTTTGCTATATGTATGTATTGTACAACACCACGTTTTCTACCTTTGAAGACATCTATGTAATACATAAGTAATATAAGCCAAAAAGAAATAGCAGATATGACTTCTTCCCCTCTCATGCTGTAGCTCCTTCCATGTCTGGACCCTAAGTCTGGGTGCTCCCCACAAGCAGATGTGTTATAAGTAGCTCTGTTGTGACCTGCTCAGGTCCTCATTTTTCCTAGCCAGCAAGAGTTGGAGCAGTGGAGATGACACTCAGGTTACATCCGAACTGAGGGCTCTAACGCCAACTCCAGTGGTCCCATCTGTAGGGTCCCTGTCCCACGTGGTTTGCTGGGGACAGTCCCAGGCTATGTTGTTGTGTAATAATGATGATCACCCTCCGTCCTCCTCAGTGGTGCCCTGGTTTAGATGGGATCCACATTCCCTCTGCTCATCCATAGCCAGAGTTTGAAATGCTCACCTCTGTCTGGGCCTCCCTAGCTCCTCTCTGTCACATAGTGCCAGAAGTCACATCAGAGCTGGAGTGTCTCCACAGCACATTTTCTCCTCAGACTCAATCAAGAGTGTTTGTAATTTTATTCACAATTGTCCCAACTGTATTATCTTCATTGCGTTACCTGGGTTAAACTCCTTGCCCTGCTACTTCCTAGCTTCTGGCTTTGGGCAAGAATCTTAACCACTCTACACTTACATACTCCATAAAATAGTTAATAAAATTATTATTGCTATATAATATTAGTAATATAAAATATTTCAGGGTCTTTGTAAGATCAAATGAGAAAATTCACTCAAAAAGTGCCCAACAGCCAAAGATCACCAGATGTGTAAGCTTCACAGAATTAGGCTTGCTAGCCTGTTATAGTGAGAGAGTCTGTACATTGTAGGGACTAAGGCGCAGCCAGGGAAAGGGTATTAGGAGCAAGTGTTGCAGGGTTTGAGTTTGAGGTAGGTGATTTTGGAATATGTTGAAGGAATTGTGTTCAAGCGTTAGGTGATATCAGAGTCCCTATTTTCTGCCTAGCACGCAAGAGAACAGATAGAAGCCGGAGGTGTCACTGGAGAAAAAGTAGGTACCACTCATGGGGAGGGGGCATTTGGTGGTTGTACAGAACCTTCTCCCCTTCCTTTACTGCAGAGCAGATGGGACTGTCGATGGGTTTTCTTCTTCTTCCATCACAACCGTGTGAGGCCCTCCTCCACACTAGCATTCTGTGCTCTTTTTATCTTCACCAGAGCCCTGCAACTGGCTGGTAGCCATGGTAGTGACCTGCTGTCCTGGGTCTTTCCCTACCCTACCACCCTGGCCTTGGCATTGTCAGAAGATAAAATCAATACCACCAGAACTTTGAAAAGCACAAAGATCAGATTCACTGCATCATAGGCAAGGGCAAACAAATAAGCTGGGATTTTTTTTTTTCCTGAGTAGTGTCCTACGGGAAAAATCTGGAGTTCCTAAGTGCTAGAAAGTTAGGCAGCAGGGGTGGAGCACATGGTAGCTGTGCTAATCAGTAATTAAAACTAGCTATCAGAATGAGTCAGAATGAGTCTGTAGGTCTGTAAATGATAGGTTTAAGATGTACCACTGTTCACTGATCAGAAAAGACTCTTCAAGTAGGTCCAGTAAGTGCCTGGCAGTAAGCCCTAGTTAAACATAGATGGCTCCAGCATCTGCGGCAGGTGCCATCGTCCAGAGTGTGATCACAGAACCTGGTTTACAAGAGGCAGGCCAGGTAAGTATAAGTATAGGCAGTCAGATTTGATATCTCCAAGTACTAAAATACGTGGACTCTTTTTTAACTGCAGAATGCCTTCCACATATTGAATATTTGATATATTTTGATTCTAAATTGCTTTGCTTGCTTTCGGAATTGTTGGTGCTAATTCTAGTTTATGATGCAGGAATATTGAGCTTCTTAGGATGAAAATTTGACTGTAGTTTGTCAGGCAAAGGCACTGCTCAAACATAGACCGTGTATGTGTACAACCACGCAGTAGAAGCCAAAGGCATAGGTTTCTGTCAGCCCCAAAAGCCATTTCTTCACCCCATGACTTGAAAACAGGATTTAAATGGGGGAAATAATGTGTAGGACACAGACGTGTTTTCCTAAGGGGTTCTCATTGAATACTGAGTCAAAGATGGTTTTAGGCACATCGTTACAGAGCTTAGTGGATTTAGTAGGAGTCTCATAGTCTTATTTGGTTTTTCAGTGCAGTTTCCCTGGTCGTGATGCTGTCTCTAGAGATTGTTTACTGTTAGATTTTGGTCTTTCTTGTCTCTCAATTCCATTACCCTAAGGGGGTGGGGTGCTGCTAAAGAAGCTGGGGTACAGAGCGATCACGGCAGCCGGGATGCAAATCCTTCATGTCTACCCGGTCAGGTTGTGCCATACACTCTGGTATTCTGCTCCTCCTTACCAAGTGTCCACATCTGCATGGTCTCTCCTCTTTCACCACCTTCATGCCTGTATTGCTATCAGCTGAACTTGATGCCCCGCCCTTCCTATGAAATCGCACTATGATCTGTACTTCTCCACAGCTGTTTCCAAAATCTGTGCCTAGATCCCTCACGGGGCCTGGGCTCAGTAGGGAGTACATCCATGCTATGTTCTGCCCTCTTGGGAGGGTGCAGAAAATGCACTCAGACAGCAGCACAGCTGCCCCACCTGGCGCAGAGATGCTGCATCCATGGGGTTCTGTATCAGGAAAGTTGATGTACATGATGCTGCTTAAATGCAAGAATGTTTGGGAGGATAATGTGGCTCAGAAGGATATCTATTCATTCTGTGCCTGTCTGTCACCTGCCACCATCTCAGTCTCCCTGTCCTCCTTATACAGAATGTCAGACAGCTTGGAGTCAATGAGCCTGGCCAAAGTGCTTGTATTATATGTTCCATTTCATGCCTTCCTTATTTCTTTTTTGTAGCCAAATTCAAATGTAATTTTTAAGGAAAGCAAAGTAAAAAAAAATGGTTTTAAACAAAGCCTCTAAGAACTCCAGAGGCCCCAAGCATGCTGCCGTTTGGCCTCCGCGTGACTTTGCCAGGATGGGTGGTATCTCAGCCTTCACAGCCACCAGTCCATGCTGGGGATTACTCTCCACAGATCTTGTGCCAGAACTGTAGTGATGAGCAGATATGGGACCAGCAGATGCCCAGTCTGCCAGCCATGAAATGCTCTGACAAAAGACCAGCAGGAGTGACTCCCAGCCCTGCTGAGTAGGCACATTTCCCCTTCTGTGTTTTGAATGAGTTGGCGGGGTTCTAGCCCCTTTCCTTCCTGTGCATTCCCCATGGTTGAGTGTCTACAGACGTGCGTGTCGGGAAGGCACACACACTGCACATGTAGATGTGTCTAGTGAAGGACATGGATGCAAAGTGCTCGCATGTTTAACAGCCCTCTGAATGGCATGACCCATACAAGGCCATTGTGGTGGAATGATAACTGGTGGTTAACTTGTAACACCCAGCTGAACTTAACCAGCATGGTGCTGGGTGCAAGAGGCCCATCTGAGGACTGTTGCCAGCAGCATAAGAGGCAGAACTGGAGAAAAAGAAGTTAGGCTGTTGGGAACTGGTGGAAGCTGTAAGGAGCTGTTGGTTCTTTTGGAGGAGCTTGTCATGCTGGCTTTCCTGATGAACTTAGCTGTTTTCATCCTCCAAGGAGCTTGGGACCTTGTTGGCACTGAGAATAGCTTCGGTTCACTTTGGGGGAGCTCTGGTCCTCACTCTGAGCATCATTTCCTGGCTCTAGAGGGGAAGATGGTGTACTGCTCAGTCTCCTGGAGAAGCTTGTTGCACTGGCTTTCCTGATGGGATCTCGTTTATCCTGATCACTGGAGGAGCTCAGAACCTCACTGTTGCTGAGGATGGCTGTGATACTTTTGGGGGAAGCTCTGGTTCTTACTCTGTGCATTATTTCCTGGCTCCAGTGTAGATCCCTCAGCCTGGTAGCACAGATCCTTCATCCCGCTGACATAGACTTCCTAGATTCTACCACTGACCCGATACAGGTCCGTGAAACAGGCCTGCATGAGATAGTATTATGGGCTCTAGGCCTCCAGTTGAACTTG